TTTTTTTTTTTTTTTTTTTTTTTTTTTTTTTTTTTTTTTTTTTTTTTTTTTTTTTTTTTTTTTTTTTTTTTTTTTTTTTTTTTTTTTTTTCTTTAAATACTGCAGTGGAAAAAAAATGGATCTAGAGCCCAGATTCTTGAAAACATTGATAAGAAAAAATACTCTTGATTCAATCAGATTTAAGCTTAAATCAAAAGGAAATCCGCTCAACTTAAGAGTCTTGGTTCTTGATTTAAGCTAGATTCTTATTGAATCAAGAGTATTTTTTCTTGTCGATGTTTTTAAGAGTCTGGACTCTAGATCCGATGTGTTTTTTTTCCAGTGTGTAGAGGTGTTTTTAAAAATTGGGATTTCCCGAATATTTTTCAAATCATTGAATTTTTCATTTTTGGAGCAGAACATGCAAAGCTATTCGATCCTAACGAGACTTTATGAGTCTTGGGTCAGGCGCAAATAACGTTGAGGAGCGCGCACTGCGCTCGCACAGCGACTCGCGCAGTTGAACGCACACGCGGTCAGCCCGGCGACCGTTTAGATATTGTTGATACTGGTTTAATTGCTGTGCGGTGGACATAATGACGACATTAAATTAAATTAAATATCTTGCCAAGAATGTTTACGATTTCAAAAATGAGCCTTATCTCGCTGGGCTTTTATAGCCTTTGCCTTCTCTTCCTCGGCAGGCGGCGCGGCCTCGCTCGCGGATCCCTCTTCATCTGATGGACTCGCGCACCGAGGTCCGCAAGAATCGCCGCGCGCCGCGCCGGGAACGTCAAAGGAACGATTTTGATGACCGCTTATCGCGCAATCCTCCATGAAATAGATATCAAACGTACCCACGGCTCGCCTGGCCCAAGCCCAACTGTCAACGGGAAATTTCGCACAGGGTGGCAAACAGAAAAGATATACAGCGTGATCCAGTGTTAAACGGTCAGACTGCAGGAGCGTGGTCTGTGGGTCAAAATAAGACTTTTTTGTTTTTCCAAAAGTGCTCCCAGTCGGAACTACGGCCCCCCAAAATTTCGGAAAGTAAATCTTCTTTCCAACCAAGTTCGTCGCAAGGGTAAGTCCATGATAAACTGAATACGTCACTGGAAAAAAACACATTGGATCTAGAGTCCAGACTCTTGAAAACATTGACAAAAAGAAATACTCTTGATTCAATCGGATTTTTGCTTGAATCAAAACGAAATCCGCTCAAATTAAGAGGCTTGGCTCTTGATTTAAGCTAGATTCTGTTTGAATCAAGAGTACTTTTTCTTGTCGATGTTTTTAAGAGTCTGGACTCTAGATCCAATGTGGTTTTTTTCCCAGGGGGTGATCCAATGTTAAACGGCCAGACTGCAGGAGCGTATTCTATGGGTCAAAATAAGACTTTTTTGTGGTTGAAAGTTTTTCCAAAAGTGCTTTCAGTCGGGACTACGGCCCCCCAAAATTTCGGAAAGTAAATCTTCTCTCTAACCAAGTTCGTCGCAAGGGTAAGTTCATGAAAAAGTGAATACAGAAGAAAATATTCTATGATTTGGACTAACTTTAACGTTTTTTGTCATGGATTTTTTATTCTTATGAGTACAAAATGGCAATGAAAAGTTAAATACCAATCCGTTGAAAAACTGATTTTGAGAAAAAAAATCCTGGAGACTTAAACGCAAAGGTATAAAAAACGGAAACTATTTTCGTTCAAGAACTCTTGCATCATTCCAACCGAGGTCGTCGCAAGGGTAAGTTTACTACATCACATATAGTTGCATTGAGGAACTGAATGCAGAAGAAAAATTCTATGATTTGGACAAACTTTGAGGTAGGTGCAAAGGTACTGTTTATAAAATTTTCAAAACCGGCGAAATTTTTTCCCTCATAATTTTACTTTTTTATAGAGGCACCCCTATACAGGGTGATCCAAGGTTAAACAGCCAGATTGCAGGAGCGTGTTCTGTGGGTCTAAATAAGACTTTTTTGTTGTATAAAGTTTTTTTTCAAAAGTGTCCCCAGTCTACGCTACGGCCCGAAAATTTTGGGGAGTAAATCGTTTTCCCTGAATTTTGGCAACGATTGTGAACGAAATCTCATAAAAATTGGTACTTTCCTGTACTTTTATGCACTGAATTCATTATTGATCTAAAAAGATCGAAATCCCAATTTAAAGAAGGGGTTTGAGGGTGTTTTGGCTCCTGCAGTCTGGCCGTTTAACCCTGGACCACCCTGTATTTTCGAGATCCCGTATTTATTTCCAAATGTTTTAATTTCTGTCAGTGCTTTTCAAGCAGAAATTTGGACAACATTTCACAATAATGGCTCAATTCAGGAACAATATATGTGCGGTAAGTGTCCCTAGGCAGATATGTGCTTTTATGGTTGAGCCAGAGATAGAAGTTCCTCATTGTAACATATAGTCCAATCAATTGTACGCCTCAATGTATCTCTATGATATAAAAAATACGAAAACTAAGATACGGATGTATTTGGCATTGATCAAATGATAAAAACTTGAGGTATCTCACGAAATAAAGTCTTCATCTGGATGTACTTACTTCTTCCTGAAATCAGACAAAAAAGACAAAATTAGGTTCAAGCTCACACAGAAAACTTCTCACTGCAGTTATTTCTTTAATGCAAAAAAATAAACATTATGATCTTTGAAAATGCGTTTACTAACAACATAATTCCTTCCACCATTTTAGGAGGAAAACGCGAGGACTGTGACTGGGACTGTCATTATTTTCCCGTGTGAAAAAAAAAGAGTGTGACAGCTCAATTGTCCATCACGTAAATTGACAAGTATAGTAGCGCACAAAAATAGCAGAATAAAACTTCAGCAAAAAAGAGCATCATGTCCAACTAAAAACAGAGGCATCTGATCCACGTACGGTGAGACAATTTGGGGCAAGGATGCCGAAGATATCTTGAAATTCTTGACGAGAGGAGAGGAATATCTAGCTTATTGATAGCACTGACAATTATTTCATGTTATACTGAAGAATTAAGATCTGAATTTTTTCAACGTAATTGCTCTGTATTCTTCCTAAAAGGTTGAATATTGAATAAAGGGGTATTTCAACCCTTTAAAGGAGACCGGGCTCGCCAGTAAACTCCCCGCATTTCGTCGTTTCCTTCGCGAAAGAACGTAAGTAAATTTCAATGTTGCCTAATTTCACTCTGCAAATTTCATTTTTATCAGGGGAATCATGGGCATTACTACCTTATTTGAGGCCAAAATGGAGGGGATATCCCACGCTATCCTGATAGTCCACCTCTACATCAAGACAAACTCTCCACGCAAAGATAGGGAGCAAATACATTGACAGGGCTGCCACTTTATTTGGGGACTCCAAAACTGAAAACACGGCATCACTGCTAATGTATTTGCTCCCTATCTTTGCACGGAGAGCTTGTTTTGATGTAGAGGTGGACTCTACCCCTCCATTTTAGCCTCAACTTGAGAGCTTTTTTTGAGCTTGGGAGTCAATTTCAGTGGGAAACCAGTGGGACCATCGTGCTTCTCGCGAACTTTTACATTAGAATCAATGGTCAAATCGCAAATCCCTCACACTTGCAACATCTCCATTCTTTTGAAAAATTGAATTTTTCGAGCAAATTTTGCAACCTCGGAATGGAGTTACGCTCCTTCGTCCGGGGAACGACGATTCGACCGGACCGGCAACTCGGATTTCGCACGAAGGCGGCATTCATCCAATCAGAGATTCGATGTTTTACAATAATTATAGTTATAAACCGCTCGAGTCGAGGGGTGGGCGGGGGGG